CACTTCCTCGAAGAAGACATACAGATGGTCAATAGATAAATAAAAATGTGCGCCTCTGATGCAAAGCAGTACAATGGCCAGTGAGCAATGCATTTGCCTTGCACACAGATTACAGGGTTCAAACCCCTGAATCCTATATGATTCCCTGAGCACAGCCAGGAGTAGTTCCTGAGCAAAGAGCCAGGAGTGACCCTTGAGCATCGCTGAGTGTGACCTAAAGAGTTAAAAACAACAACAACAAAAAGGACTCTTCATCTCTTATCAAAAGGGAACTATGAACCAAAGAAATAATGAGATACAGCTTAACACCAGTGAGATGGCTGTCACTGTCACTGTCACCCCATTGTTCATCGATTTGCTAGAGCGAGCCTAGTAAGACTTGTTACTGTGTTTGGCATATCTAATATGTCTTGGGTACAAGTAAGACTTGTTACTGTGTTTGGCATATCTAATATGTCTTGGGTAACAAGTAAGACTTGTTACTGTGTTTGGCATATCTAATATGTCTTGGGTAGCTTGCCAGGCTTTGCCATGTGGGGAAGATACTCTCAGTAGCTTGCCAGGCTCTCCGAGAAGGGCGGAGGAATTGAACTTGGGTTGGCCATGTTGGTTGCATGCAAGGCAAACGCCCTTCCCGTTGTGCTATCACTCCAGCCCAGTGAGATGGCATTCATCAAATATAATAGAAACCATCAGTGTTAGTGGGAATGTGGAAAAAGAAATTCTCATATACTATTCTTCGGCCTATGGGCTGGTCCAGTCTATTTGGAAAATAGTATGAAGACTTCTAAATAAAATAATAATTGATTTTCCATATGGCTTAGCTATGTTATGTTGTAGCTTCATTCACAAGAGATGAAAAAATAGTAAATAGAAAAGATACTGCAGTTATATGTTCATTATATCTGCATTCATGGTAGCCACGATGTAGAAACCCAAATGTTTAGAGTAGATGAATGGATAAAGTTACATATACAATGAAATACTGCTCAGCGATAAGAAAAAAAAAAGAATCCTTGTAGTTTTCTGCTATGTGGATGGATCTTGGGCTGGAGCGATAGCACAGCGGTAGGGCGTTCGCCTTATAAGCGGCCAACATGGCGGACCCGAGTTCGATTCCTCTGCCCCTCTCGGAGAGCCCGGCAAGCTACCGAGAGTATTCGATATGCCAAACACAGTAACAACAAAGTCTCCAATGGCGACGTTACTGGGCCCGCTCGAGCAAATCGACGATCAACGGGAGGGCCTTTACCTTTACCTTTACATATACAATGAAATACTGCTCAGCGATAAGAAAAAAAAAAAGAATCCTTGTAGTTTTCTGCTATGTGGATGGATCTTGGGCTGGAGCAATAGCACAGCAGTAGGGCGTTTGCCTTACAAGCGGCCAACATGGCTGAGCCTTACAAGCGGCCAACATGGCTGACCTGAGTTTGAATCCTTCGCCCCTCTTGGAGAGCCTGACAAACTACCGAGAGTATCTCGCCTGCACAGCAAAGCCTGGCAAGCTACCCGTGAAGTATTGGATATGCCAAACACAGTAACAATTGTCACAGTGGAAATGTTACTGGGCCCACTCGAGCAAAATCAATGAAGAATGGGAGGACTGTGACAGTGACAGTGGATGGATCTGACGGGTACCATGGTGAGTTAAATGAGTCAAAGGGAAAAGGAAAAATACCAAATGATCTTTATCATGTATGGAATATAATGAAACCATAGTAAAGGAATAAAAATTGATCAATGAGGACTTGAGAATCAGCCTACAGAACTGAGTTTGTTAACGCGGGTAAGATGAAGAAGAGGATATTTAGAGACTGGTGTCATGATGCTGATATTTTCATGTGACTGAGATATAACAAAACTGCATGCCTGAAATATTGCTATTAACAGTAATCCAGATCACATTGCCCACATAAAATGAAGAATTTGGCCATTAGGGGGAGCATAAAGATTGGAGTAAGAATATCTATACAAAGTGGAAGATAAATACTACACAAAAGCAGAATGAATAAAAATATTTTCTATGCATAGGCAATTTTCAATAAGTTGAGGAGGTGTCTGCTTCACCAAATATGTGAAAACAATGCAAAGCATAAATAAACATGATAAATTGAGAAATTATGTTTAACACACACAAAAATCTTTCAGCAGCCAAACACATGAAAACAGAAATTTGTTCCAACCAATAAAAAATTGCAAATAGCTTTTTCTAAGGACGATATTATATATGAGAAAATACAAGCAATTCAACAAATAATTAAATGATGCACAAACATAATAAAAACTTTAATAGAGATGATTTACTAGAAATCATTAAAAATAAACATACAGAAATTCTAGAGCTCCGGGATTTAGTAAATGAGATTAAAAAAAGAAATAGAACGTTTATAATATATTAGACCAATGAGAAATTAGAATCAGTGGGCTAGTTTAGGGTTTCTTAATCTTTTACTACCTTGACTCCCTTCACCTTCTTACCTTTCTCTGGTTCCCACAGCCTACCAGTTAACCCCTAGTCTTGTATGCCATAGCCCCCCATTTATGCAATTTTCACTTATGGCCCTTTTGGAATATCATGGGAGCCCACAGGGGGGGTCATATGATTCTTGCCAAGAAGTGATGAACTAGAAAATAGGAACTCAAACTATAAAATAAGTGTTCCAAGTTGGACTCAGTATAACTTAAGAAGACTGATACAAATATATTAAAGATGTTAGAACCACTAGGCTGGAACTCAAGTAAAGGCAATTGGTGTATATGAGAGTAATGTAATTAATGAACTAAAATGCATAAAATATTCAAAAGAAAATATGGTAATCACTAACATTAAAAACATAATTAAGGGTAGAATATGCACAGACATATTCTGCTAATGAGTTCTCACTGTGGTTCTACTTTTCTCAAGGAAAAGTGTATTTTATACAATCTTTTTGTATCACACTTGTGAATTTCCATGAAAAATAGGACAGTGAGCAGGCAGGGGACTGAGTGTTCAGTGGTCAAGACTGACTCTCCAGACAGGATGATGGGCAACGGATGAATGAAGGACAGGGGAACAGAGAAACTGGGATTGGGCCCCAGGCCGGTTGATAGTCAGTTTATTTATCTCTCCTCCCCAGTGTAGTCTGATCTCTCCCTTTACAGCGCAATTGTAGTTGTAGTTATGGTCATAATCATCAAAGTTCCAGTCATCAAAGTCCCATCATCCTAGTCTCCTCATAGATCTCAAAGTCCTCAATTTCATGTCATCGTTGTCATCTAGTCCTCCTTCTAGTCATCACAGACCCTCTAGTTCTCAAAGACCTCAATGTCCCAAAGTCTCCAAAGTCTCAGTTCTCATCCTCTTTCTAGTTGTCGACTTTCTAGTCTTCAACATCTAGTCACTGACTTTCCAGTCCCCTTTTATCCCTTTACAGCATAGTTATATAGAAATCATGAAGGGTGGGGTACACAAAGTTGGATTGAACACTATCATAATAACAAACAGAGGTAAAGATTCTACTTTAGAGGATTAATTTAAGGACAAAATCTCAATTAAGGAGATTAATTCAGATTATTAGGAGATCCTCTCAAAGGCAGGATTTCATCCCGGGTTTATTGCTTTCTCCTTTCCTCAGCTAGTAATCCATTTAAGGAAACATAGTAATTTTACTTATAAAATTTCTAATCATTTTGTATGAACACAGTAAGAGATATATTAAGCTTAAAGGTTGGATCTTCCTGGGAACATCTTGCTGTATATTCCAGACCATAGTCCTCAGGCCAGGTTTTATTCAGTTACCTCTCTTTGGGTCATGACGGAGTTTGTCCATGACCGTGCTCTTAAATTATAGTTAAGTATTATGGCTCTTGGCCTGGCCCATTTCAATGCCAGAGTAGCTTAGAGCTTGCCATGGGTCCATCCAGTCCCTTGTCCGGACCCAACTTTTGGGGTGCTAGGAACTAAGGGCAACTGAGGTTTAAGTGAAGTAAATATGGATGCTCAGGAGTAAATATTATTTTGTAGTCAGTTAACTACCATGTTAGGAAGCATAGCACTAAATTCTTCCTGTGTCTATACAAAAAAGAAACCATGCAAATGACATAAAGGAAAGAGAAAAGCAATATAGGATTATTAGTGCTTGATGGAATTGGGCACTGTTGTGGGAGTGACTCAATAACCCTAAGTTCCCTAGGGGAGGAATAAGGACAATCCAATGTTATCCAACACACACAGAAACACAGAGATGTGCACAGTCACATATAAGCACACAATCTACAAAATAACTGGAGAAAACAAGGTAAGTGTAGATTTTAACATAAGGATATAATGAAGCAGGTCCTTTTCCATGAGAATAGCGATAGCACAGCGGGTAGGGCGTTCGCCTTACACGCGGCCAACATGGCCGACCCGAGTTCGATTCCTCCGCCCCTCTCGGAGAGCCCGGCAAGCTACCGAGAGTATTCGATATGCCAAACACAGTAACAACAAAGTCTCCAATGGAGACGTTACTGGGCCCGCTCGAGCAAATCGACGATCAACGGGAGGGCCTTATATATACATAGTACATTGTTAGTATGGAGGCTGTTGAGAATACAACATCAATTTAAGAAAGACTGAAATTCTGAATAATGAAGAAAAACAATGTAATATAAGAAATTTAAAAGAAACAGTATGATCATCATCACCATTGCATAGAGTGGCACATTTCTGAAATTGTATCATCCATGCTGGTATTTCCAACACCCATGTTTTCCAAAGGAAAATAGACATTTGAACTGTTTCAGCTAGTGAAAGAAACTCTACTTGTGTGCTGTTATAGATATGTTTCATCATGAACTTCTTTGTATAAATTATTGATCACAGGTATATAATTAAATATAAGCAAAATTGGTTTTATTTGAAACAGAAACTTCAAGCAAACTAAGATGTAGAAGTCACTGGGAAATTGTCTAAATGATTTTCTTGGTGTTTGTTTCTTTTCTGCTGTTTTTCATTGAGAAAGCATTATTAAATTTTAACTCACTGAAAAAAAATGTTGAGCCTTCTTTAACATCCTCTTGAGTGCTTCTTTGATCTCCTTGTTCCTCAGACTATAGATAAGAGGGTTTAGCATGGGGGTAATGATAATATAGAAAACTGACAGCATCTTGTCCTGCTTTTCAGAGTGTCTAGAATGAGGATGTAAGTAAACAAAGAAGACTGGGACATAGAAGAGTGCTACAACTGCCAAATGTGAGGCACAGGTATTGAAGGCCTTAAGGCTACCTTTGATGGAAGACATTTTTAGGATGGATGCTGTGATGAAACCATAGGATAACAAAATAGCAAGGAAAGAACCAAAGCCAACAAACAAAATGGCCAAAAACAGAATCATTTGGGTGATGAAGGGACTAGAACAAGACAAGATAATAATCTCAGATATGTTACAGAAGAAATGTTGAATGACATTTGGTCCACAGTAGTACATACGAAAGGCAGGAATTGTCTCAAGCAAACTACAGATGAAACCAGTTCCCAGGGCCCCAGCCACCATCTTCTGACAGAGCCCAGGTGCCATGATGGCTGAGTACTGCAGCGGGTTACCAATGGCCACGTACCTGTCATAGGCCATGGCAGCCAGGAGGCAACACTCAGTCTGACCCATCCAAGATGCAACAAAATACTGGGTAGCACATGCAATAAAGGAAATTGTTTTATCATCCTTAAAGAAATCTGAAAGCATCCTTGGGCTGATGGAAGAAGAATAACAGACATCTATAGATGATAAGATGCTGAGGAAAAAGTACATGGGCGTATGCAGGTGAGAGTCCATCCTGATAAGTATAATAAGACTCAGATTCCAGAATAAGGTCACCAGATAGACTCCTAGGAAGACTGGAAAGAGAATGAGCTGCAACTCTTTTTCATCTGTGATTCCCAGGAAAACAAACATGACCACTGATGATGTGTAATTTCTATCTATTTCCAGAGAAGTGCCCGATTCCATCTGTTGAAAATAAGGGGAAAGAACAAAATGATGGACTCACAAATAAATCTCGGAAGAGAGCAACACGCTGCAGATATGTCTTCTCCTCCACTGCCAGGCTGATTTCATTGGTGAGCCTCTGAGGGGGGCAGGTGTATTTCTCTGCCTGCCTCCAAAAGAACCCCAGCAGTCGCAAACCTCCAGAACCTAATCACCTCCATGCTCATGACTGGCCTTCACAAGTTCTTCCTGAGCCCCCCATGAATGAGAATGAATCTGCTGAAAAACCCAGTTAAAATGAACTAGTGACTGAAATCTCCAGGTTCGCAAGGAGTCAGAAATGGCCCCCCACCTCCCACCTCTCTATATTACAATGTCCCTGGCAGTCACGCCCACAAACTGCCTCAGAAACTATGAACAGCCATGATACAGATACTCACAAATAAATCTCAGAAGAGACTAATATGCTGCTAAGGAGCCTTGGATCCCCAAATCACCATTCAGCTAAAAATTTACTTCCAACTCTAGCACCCTACTTAAAATTTTAGAATCCCTTGATACCTCATACTTTATTACACTGATATACCAAGAGTGGCACACCACATTTGCTTGGGTGTAAGGTAGAAGGCAACCAATCTTGATCAAAATATTCATAGCAAGCAATGCAAAATAAATTATTTAGCATCTGTCTTTGAGGGCAGGCTTTGGTGATGGTGGGAAAATTTGAAAGAATGATGGTGGAATTTATGTTGAAATATTGGATGTAAGAAATTATTGTGAACAACTTTATGCAATAAAATTTTAAAAAAGAATAAAATGACTATGTTCCAAACACAAAAGTGAATATTTTTCCAATATTGCATCTAACTGTATATACAACCTTAAATAATCTTGTTGAGCTAATCAATGTATTTATATAAAAATCATAGAGTTGGATCCTCTATATTATCCTTATAGAAAATGGCAATATATACATATACTTTTACTGAATTCTCTTATCAATCTGGAAGCTTTTCATAAGTCCCAATTACAGATTCCGACAAAGATTAGTGACCTAAATATATATAAGAGTTAGGTTGCTTAAACAATGTTAATGGAAAATAAGAAACATTACATTATCCAAGATTGGAAAACAGTATGATGAAATTTTTTTAAAAAAGAAACTAAGATTAGATCTCCATATGATCATCATCCAGAAATTCCACTTCTTGGCATCTACTCCAAGACCTCATAAACGTTGTGAGTTATGATGTTTTACATGATGCTTTAGTACCTATGTTCACCGTAGGTCTAAGTCCAGTAGCTAATGTCTGTGTCCACCACTAGGATGGCCTGGGCATCCTTGACAGTGTCCCTGGCAATCCAATCTCCAAGACTGAATCAGGAGGAAACAGAAAAAATGAACAGACCAATCACTGAAGGACCAAGCAGCATCACATCCTTTGGTCCTTACGTTGAACCCATAGACTCATTCAACAAGAATCACTGGCTTGGTCTCCAGGTCTCCAGAGTGGATTGAAAACATAAATTAACAAATAAATGAGATTGACAAAACCTTATCTAGACTCATGAGGATAAAAGAGAAAAACTCTTATGAGACATATCAGAAAAAAACATATCAGAGATAAAGGGGAAGGAAGAAAAATATATACCTCATAAATAATAAAGATCATAAGAGGTTTCTTTAAACAATTTATGCCACTAAGCTAGAAAACCTAAAAGAAATAGATGAAGTTTTAGAATCGATCCAACCTCCAAGACTGAATCAGGAGGAAACAGAAAACATGAACAGACCAATCACAAGTAAGGAAATTAAAACAGTAATAAAAAAAACTCTCAAAAACAAAAGCAGAGGGGCTAGAGAGATAGTGCTTTGGATAGGATTTTTGCTTTGCATGTGGCTGGCCTGGGTTCAATACCCAGTACCCCATACGAACCTGGAGTCTCTTTAGGAGTGATCCCTGAGTGCAGAGCCAAGAGTGAGCTCTGAGCACAGTCAAATGTGGCCTTCAAACCAAAACTAAAGAAAAAAACAGTGAAGCTCTACACAGGTTCACTAGTGAATTTTATCAGACATTTATAAATTTATTACTGGGTCCCTTCGTGGTCGTATCATTTGGGGCTGGAGCGATAGCACAGTGGTAGGGCGTTTGCCTTGCACGCAGCCAACATGGCCGACCCGAGTTCGATTCCTCCGCCCCTCTCGGAGAGCCCGGCAAGCTACCGAGAGTATCTCGCCCGCACGGCAGAGCCTGGCAAGCTCCCCGTGACGTATTCGATATGCCAAACATAGTAACCACAAAGTCTCCAATGGAGACGTTACTGGGCCCGCTCGAGCAAATCGATGAACAACGGGAGGGCCTTTACCTTTTACCTTTACTGGGGCCGAAGCACTATTACAGTGAGTAGGACATTTGCCTTATACGCTGCTGACACGGATTCAATCCCTGGCATCCCATATGGTCCCCTGATCACCACCAGGAGTAATTCCTGAGCATCGCTGGGTGTGACCCCCCCCCCAAAAAAAACAATTTATTATCTATACTCCTCAAATTCCTCCAAATAGAAACAGGTATTCTTTTTCACAATTTTATGAATTGAACATTATTTTAATACAAAAACAGAGTGATTAACAACAAAAAACTATTGATCTATAACCCTGATGAAAATAGATGTGAAAATCCTCAACAAAATGTTAGAGATGCCAATTCAACAATGTACCAAATGAATTGTACACCATGATGAGGAGGAATTTATTCTAGAAATGAAGAAAGTGTCTAAATATATGCAAATCAACTGATGTATACACATCAGAAAAAGGATCAGATGACCATGTAAATAGATGTAGAGAAATCTTTTGATAAGATTCAACCTCCATTCATAAGTTTAGGAACATGTATCCAGGTGCTGGAGGAATAATATAGAGGGTAAAGCATTTTCCTTGCATGCACCCCAACCAGGTTCAATTCCCAGGTCCCCCCATACGTCCCTCTGAGCACCACCAGGAATAATTCCTGAGTGCAAAGCCAAGAGTAACCCCTGAGCATCACTGTGTGTGAACCCAAAACTAAAATATAATTATTTAATTAATTAAAAGAATTAAAAAATAAGGATAGAAGCAACAGACTTCAAGATAGTAAAAACTGTATACAAGATACACATAGCTGACATTATACTCAACGGTAAAAATCTGAAAGTCTTCCTTTAAATATTAGGCACAAAGCAAGAATGTTCACTTAATCCACTGCCATTCAAATAGTATTAAGCTTTCACCACAGCGATTAGGTAAGAAAAAAGAAATGAAAGTTATCAAATGATTATGAAAAAGCTAAATTTCACTAATTGCTGATGACATTATATACCACAATGACCCAAAGACTCACTTAAAAAATGTAAGAAAAAGATAAACCAGTGCAGAAAAGTAGCAGATTGCAAGTCAAAGCAAAAATAAATTATATCTCTGGGGCTGAAGAGATAGCACAGCGGGTAGAGCGTTTGCCTTGCACGCAACTGATCTGTGTTTGATTCCCAGCATCCCATATGGTCCCTTTAGCACTACCAGGAGTAATTTCTGAGTGCATGAGCCAGGAATAACCCCTGTGCAATGTTGGGTGGGACCCAAAAAGCAAAAAATAATAATAAAATAAATTACATTTCTGTATGTAAACATTGCTCGAGCGGGTCCAGTAACGTCTCCATTGGAGACTTTGTTGTTACTGTGTCTGGCATATCGAATACTCTCGGTAGCTTGCCGGGCTCTCCGAGAGGGGCGGAGGAATCGAACTCGGGTCGGCCCTGTTGGCTGCGTGTAAGGCAAACGTCCTACCTCTGTGCTCTGGGCTGGAGCGATAGCACAGCGGGTAGGGCGTTCGCCTTGCACGCAGCCAACATGGCCGACCTGAGTTCGATTCCTCCACCCCTCTCGGAGAGCCTGGCAAGCTACTGAGAGTATTCGATATGCCAGACACAGTAACAACAAAGTCTCCAATGGAGACGTTACTGGGCCCGCTCGAGCAAATCGACGATCAACGGGAGGGCCTTACCCTTTGTTACCCTATGTAAACATTGGACTAGAAAACAAAAAGTCATGTAAAATAATGTACTGCATTACACTGCACTATCCTTCACTGTCCTCCCATTGTTCATTGATTTGCTCAAGCGGGCCCAGTAACGACTCCAACGTGATACTTGTTACTGAGTTTGGCATATGCGTCACGGGTAGCTTGCCAGGCTTTGCCGTGCAGGCGAGATACTCTCAGTAGCTTGCCGGATTCTCTGAGAGAGGCTGAGGAATCAAACCCGGCTTGGCCAGCCAGCTGCACACAAGGCAAATGCTCTACCGCTGTGCTATCGTTCCACCCCAAAATAATGTACATTATTTTAATAGTAATAGAAATAATATATAGCACTGTAGCACTGTCCTCCCATTGTTCATAGATTTGCTCTGGCAGGCACCAGGAACTTTTCCATTGTGAGACTTATAGCTACTGCTTTTTGGCATATCGAAATATGTCACTGATAACTTGCCAGGCTTTGCTGTGTGGGCGAGATACTCTCGGCAGCTTGCCGGGCTCTCTGAGAGGGGTGAGGAATTGAACCTTGGTCAGCCATGTGTAAAAAAACACCCTACCCCCTGTGCTACTGCTCTAGCCCAGAAATAATATATAAAGTTTATATTTAAGTTACATTATATAAATAATACATAAAAAATCAAGTACCTAGGAATCAACTTAAAAAGATGTAGAAGAGAAACACTGAAGATTATAAGTCACTATGAAAAGATAGAACACTGTCTATAAATGGAAAATTAATGATGTCAAAATGACCATAATGCCCAAATTTCAAAGATTTAATACAATGCATTTCAAAATTTCCATGGCAATCTTCAAGGGCCTTGAACATATGCAGCTAAATATTTTATGGAATAAAAAAAATTCCCCATATAGCCAAAGCAATTCTGAGAATAAGGAAAATGAGAATCATTATATTCTTTGATTTAAATACATTGTGTAGCATAGTAA